TAATAATTTTATCTGATAAATCATTGTCATTCTCAAAAAATGTTAATGTTATATTCACTTGCAAAAAAAATATTCTTACAGTCCAAAATATGTTTCGGTTTAAATCAATCATTCCAAATAGTTCTCATTATGGTTTCCAAAAAATTATCACTTACTGATTCTAAGTACAAATGTTTTTTTGATCCCATTTTCTCAAATGTTTTATCTATATTGTCAGTATGCTGCAGAAAGACTGACATTTCTCATGCATCAAGTGTCCTCTTACGTGAAGTGTCCTCTTGCCTCAAGTATTCTCCTCGTCTGTGAAAAAAATGTCGTGTAGGAGGATTGATATTACATTGCAGTTTAGCACTCATTCGTTTCTATAGAATCTTTAAACAGTGTCGGATGTTAATATGCAATTCGAGGTTTGTCAACCATATTTTAAATAAACATGCAGCCTTATTGATATATGTAGATATATCAACAAGTATGTGTAGATAATAAGAAAAGTTAGAAAACTTATAAACAATGCGTTTCGCCGATGTTATATGTACTGAGTTCGGTCCCTTCAGGTCCAAATAAAGACAAAATATTGTGGAATGAAAATACGGTAGAATTTTTGAGGATAATATGGGCAATAAATTACCTTATCAGATCCGACGAACAAAGACTATTCTCTCTCTCTCTCTCTATATATATATATATATATATATATATATATATAGTTAAGTTACGAAGAACTTGGTAAACCGAATGGGTAATTCAAGGATGATGAAATCCTGAGAGCTCAATGGGAATCAGAGTTAATAATTAATGAAAAAAACAGACCACTTTTACGGTACCATTACAATAATTTATTTCACCAAAATCCTTTTTATTGTAATGGTACCTTAAAAGTGGTCTATTTTTTTTATATATATATTCATTATATATATATATATATATATTCATTTTTTATATATATATATATATATATATATATATATATATATATATATATATATATATATATATATATATATATATATATATCATGGTGGCCTGACGATTGCGTCTAGCATGAAACAGCCTGTCGCCTCTAAGTGTTGACCTTAAGAGTATATTTCTTGCTTACCGCACACTCCTTTGTGGCCGAGACGGTAAGGCACGTCAGCGTAAATAACGGTTCCGTATAGGTTCGAATCCTGTCAAAGGACGAATATTTTCTATGAAAATTTCTCGGGCATTCAGGCCGGTAAATGTTATTTAATATTGTTTATTATAAACAGAGCATTTATTTAAATACTTGTATCTATAAAAAAAGAACGTTAAACATAAAACAATGTCTTTAATAAATAAATTGTGGGACTTTGTCCATTTTTTAATATATGACGTCATTTGTTTACATTTAATACGCCAGAGCAGTTATGAATGTACCAGATTCATGGAAGATTGAAGTTTATAAGCAGTAAATTCGACCTTTCCTACCGAGAGCTTCTTTGAGGCCGATACGGTAAGGCACGTCAGCATAAATGACGGTTCCGTATAGGATGCAGGTTCGAATCCTGTCAAAGGACGAATATTTTCTATGAAAATTTCTCGGACATTCAGGCCGGTAAATGTTATTTAATACTGTTTATTATAAACAGAGCATTTACTTAAATACTTGTATCTATAAAAAATACGTTAAACATAAAAAAAAATTGTCTTTAATAAATAAATTGTCGGACTTTGTCCATTTCTTTATATATATATGTATGTATGTATACATTATTTATATTATTCAGACTATTGTCCTCATTTTTTTCGCCATATTTGTTACAACGTTTTGGCCGTTGTATGCTCCGGCCTTCTTCAGGTGCTTGGAATGTCGAACTGAAACCTTTCATTTCGCTCACTGGGGTAGACTGTTCTAGTTCCACGTACCATGTTTAATGGGTGTCAGTTATCAGTTATCTCCTGTTAATTTCCCTCTAAAAGTTCTACACTGCCTTAACCAGGTATTGAACTCACACTCTTTGGGTCCTGTCACTGGATCTAACTAACGCCTTTATCCACTGTGCCATGTGTCCTTGAGAAAGCGTTGTAATAAATATGGCGACAAAGATGAGGACAATAGTCGAATAATGTAAATAATATACATACTACCTCAGCTCAGAAATAAATATATATATATATATATATATATATATATATATATATATATATATATATATATATATATATATATATATATACACACACACATACACACACATATATATATATATATATATATATATATATATATATATATATATATATATATATATATATATGTTAGTGTCTGTTGAATATTAAATCAACTCTCTCCAAGTAGATCTCTTTTTCCCCTATTTATTCGTATACCATAGTATGCTATTATTGATTTTGCGATAATCGGTGATACTTTGTAAGATCCTGGTCTTAGGTTTATTGTCGAGAATTGTGAGATTAGCGCACTCTCAATGCATTTTATTCTTTGAGAATCCTTTTCTCTCCTGAGCAAATTGTGGCCAGATATATCATGGTGAACAATCAGTGCGTTTAAAGTCTTGTTACACAGCATTTTTTATAGTATGATTTATCCTGGAAAAGGCTCGGGGGACACTCGAAGTAGAGGGTTATGTTAAGGGGTAGTTTATATAGATTGCGGGAGGTAATAACTATTAACTATAGACTTGAATAGGTTAAGATTGTGGTGACTGGGGAAACATTCTCTTGGGAGCCTGTTGTATAGAGAAGCCGTTCGTGGGAAGAAGGTATTCGAGTGAAACTTACTTCTCACCAGTGGAATACAGAGTAAATGTGATTAGTTTGTTACAATGTTAGTGGCATGGCTGGTCCTAGCTGTGAATATTAAACCTGGAGGTACCCTGAAATGTAGTTCTTCCAAAGACTTTGCATGGAAGTAGCAACAGAGCAGTGAGAGGTTATATTGCCTAAAAATGAGAAGGCAAATATTTGTCAATAGAATCTTGAAAACATGGATTTTATATAAAACAAGAGACTTTTGTATAAAGTTAATGAGAAACAGCAATCTTTAAAAGTGTGTTCTAAATGACGATTTTCTGTGAAATCATTTGAAGAGGATAAAAAGAATAATGCGCATGCGCGTATGTTTAAGTAGACGAGGTTTTTTCTATAAATCATCAGAATCATTATGTAGACGAGATCTCGTCTATAAATAATCAGAATCATTATGTAGACGAGATCTCGTCTATAACCAATCATAATTATTATGTAGACGAGATCTCGACTATTATCATCACAACGGAAAGCATCTTTACTTTTTACGAAAATTATAGCAAAAAACATCTAAACATTGAAAGTTAATCATCTTTTGCGGTTTCATAATGAAATATTGATTAGTCCTAAATGGGATGAACTTCGTCTTGCTTCTTAAATACATACATACATACAAACACACACACAAGCATACACAGAAACACAAACACGAACACAAGTGCACACATGAACACAGAAACACAAACCTTAACACAATCACACAAGCAGAAACTCACAGACACACAGATAGACACGCACAAACACACACCAGAAACACACAAAAATATGAAATCTTATTAAAGTCAATATTTCCATCATGGAATCATTATTAATGAAACAAAATCAGTAAAATTTTCAATATATATATATTAAAATTTTCCGTATATATTTATATCAGCATGAATATAACATCAAAATCATTTTCTAAAAACTATGCTTATTAAAAATAAATTGATAATATTTTTGTACTGTATAACGTTTTCTTATGCAACTAAAGGATTCTTCATCATATTGTGTGTGTCTCTCTCTCTCTCTCTCTCTCTCTATATATATATATATATATATATATATATATATATATATGTGTGTGTGTGTGTGTGTATTTAGGCAGCAATCCTTCTTTCATGCCCATTTCATTGAATACGACAGACAAGGTGCTTTTATTACTTTTTTATACAATTTCTCATGCGATCTAATATTTTTTTCTTTTCGGATGATAAATTATATAAAAACTGTCAGAATGTTCTTTTTATCAAAGCACTTTCGGCTATACATTTAGCCATTTTCAAGGATTAAATATTTTAACCCTTAAATAACAAATAGTTTGTTGTATGTATGTTTTATAAAATGTTCTCATTTTTCAAAACACGGTCAAGATATTGTGTCCGTGTTCAAAGTTAATATTATTAAGTGTTTTTTTTTTCTTAATAAGGCTTCCATTATTTTTAGCCTTTTTTTTTGCATATAGATGATACTATTATATTAGTGTTTATAATATTTTATGATGTTTATTAGTGTTATAATTTATCATCCGAAAAGAAAAAAATATTAGATTTAGATTGCATGAGAAATTGTATAAAAAATAAATAAAAGCCCTTGTCTGTCTTATTCAATGAAATGTGCATATATATATATATATATATATATATATATATATATATAGAGAGAGAGAGAGAGAGAGAGAGAGAGAATTGAAACACACATGGAAACATATCAAACACTATCCGCAACATACATGTAGAAAATACAACTATCATACCCTCGTCCATATATAAAAAAATCCTAAACATAATCGAAACAGTAATATTAAAATAAAGAAAAAGCCAACACTCAGTAACATCAACACTGTGAACACGGCCATAATGTGTTGACCATGTCTGGAAAAAACATCACATTGTTCTAGATAAATCTCTACACATGGTACATATTCATTTAAAAATAAGTAAAAATCATGCTCGATAATGAATAATAGAATAACTGAAAGCGCTCGGATATGTAGAACATTCGGACGGTTTTTACACACTTTATGTCGGGAAAAGAAAACACTTATAAGAGCAAAACAAAAAAAAATCGAATATACTGAATGTTTCCTTATAAGGAAACGGTTACCATTGCCATTATTTGTATAAGATAATCCGGAAAGCTTGCAACTGTAAAAATCAAACACTCAATATCGCAAGAGAGAGCTTTCATATAACTATAAAATAGCGTTTTAATTTGACAAAGTGATTCAGCCTACCAAGATCTATCTATCTATCTATCTATCTATCTATCTATCTATCTATCTATCTATCTGTACGTTTTAGTCCCTTCCAGTCAAACTATATGTGCATATGTGTGAACACTACGCAAATGCAATTCTGTTTGTTTACATAGATATGCGCAGCAAATCCACACGTGTCACTTTGCTGAACGAAAGATTCATATTTAGGTATGGAGGTCTTATGGGGGTTGGCAACTCAGATTCCTATCTTTCAATATTAATTAGTGAAATAAAAAAACAAGTTAATTAGCTTCAGCCTGCTAATTACAGTCTGCCGGCATTCTGCAGAGTCATGTGCAATGAGCGTTTAATAATTATAGCTGTGGACGAAAGACACGTCGAAGAAAGAGTCGGGTCATTGGACGAAAGAAAGACAAATATTCCATGTTAAATAGACACAGAAATTGCTTATTATAGTTTATCAGACGGCAATTACAGAAGCGGCGAAGCAGGGTTATGGTCTGTTGGTGCGAAAGATGAAAAAAAAAAACAAAACAAAAAAAACAAAACTCCTTTACAACCTGGTGCATTTTAAACGCGTCAAATAGACATTATGTTGATAAAATTCACAATAATATTTTGTTTTATCTCCATACACGAGCGGCTGGTAAAAAGTATTCGGCCATTCCTTAATTTCACCAAATATCAGAATTTGGAAGAGATTCCCTCTTTAATAGGGACTAATGGCTATATATATATATATATATATATATATATATATATATATATATATATATATATATATATATAAAAGTGGATATTGAAGTTAACACTCAGAAGCGACAGACTGTTTCATGCTAGATGCAATCGTCAGGCCACACAATTTCGTTTAGCATGAAACAGTCTGTAGCCTTTGAGTTTTGACTTCAATGTCCACGTTTATATTTATATTTACATACGCTCTGTCTCTGATATTGAGCACTTTATCCCATAAATATAGGATACTTTAAAACTATATATATATATATATATATATATATATATATATATTGATTGATGAATCGGAGAATCGAGTTCGAATTCCAGTCGAATTCATTACATTCACTTACGTGCTAATACCCTTGGGTAAGGTGTGAATCCTCTTCTTCTCCCTCCAGCTATGGCTAAATAGCAGGACAGACTGAGTTCTATAGCATTGGATGGCAACTGGTCTAGGAGAAGGACAACTCTGAATTCAAAACCTGCGGAGGGTCGTTTGGGGGTTTGAAACCTTCACCCCTATAATAAAATCTCATGTTGTCAGGCTGTCGGTTTCCTAGGAACTGATCAGCTTGACCCTCATACGTCGAATTCGACGGGAGAGTCGACTATATATATATATATATATATATATATATATATATATAAAACACCTTAAAAATACGTATCAGTTATAATTTATTTCATGAATATTGTTATATTCATCTCATCAGACTGAAAGTTTGTAAGAAATGCAATCAATCCATCCAGACAGATATACCGGGGTAAAAAGTAGAAAGGGAAAATATACATGATCTAAATCTAGAAATTACTATAATAGTTAAACTGGTTGAAAATGATCTTAACGGGAGAAATAAAAAAAAAAAAAACAATTAAATCCAAACAAATACTAAAAATCCAAACAAATACTAAAAAAAACAACCAGATTATTGCGAGGGAGGTATGACGTAATTAGAAACCCAAGTTTTAATTATTAGATTAATTAAATTAAAACGCATAATGCCAGTTATTATTTATTTTAAACCTTTTTTTAAAGAAATGTTGTAGATACGTTGAGGCATAAAATTAGTACCACTTAAAAAATGTTTAATTTTAAAGTTCACCGCATGAAAAGGTCCCCGTTTTTACGGTGACCTTTTCTCTCGGTGAACTTTTTTCATAGCGAACTTTCCTCGCTGTGTTTTGATGGCTGCGAATTTATCGGATACATTGGGCCTGTGCATACTGACCGCATAAGATGTGAAACTGCCGGTCACCATACATACAAAGGCTATATATCCAGATAATGAATATTTTCCTCTACAAAATATATCTAATTTTAAGCAACATTTTATATGAATATGTATTGTATATTTGGGCAGCAATTCTTCTCTTATGCATGTTTCATTGAATATGTGGGAAAAAGAATATTTTGTAAGTTTCAATTATTCTTGTGTTCTTACCACTTTTTTGTGTGTAGTAATTGTCCATAGTGTTAGTTGTCCCGAGTGCTTTCGATAAATATTTTAACAATTTTCAAGAGATTGTAATTTTCCTGATAATAAATATCGTCAATATATTTTTATTTGTTTCCGTAACTGCGCTGTGTGAAAAGGATATTTGGTAGCAGCAATTTCATTCTGAGTTGAGATTCCGAACAGAGACAAGACGTTTTGGCTCCATTCAAATGATCGTCCCTAAATAGTACCTCACAACGTGGCTAAGCATCTTAGCTGTATTTAGAAAATTTGATTTTTTTCTTGTTTTAAAAGATTGGATAGATACCCTCTTTCGACGATCAGATAGTACCCAAACCGCCAGACATATACATTGGCGCGTAAAAGTTTTAAGCAGTGGAAGTTTCATCTGTAGACAGCAGAATAAAAATACCCACTTACAAGATGGCAATTATTAAAAATTTACAATAGTTTGCATTACGCTGTATTTGATGAACCAACAAATGGATCACCTTCCACACTCAATTAGTCCTAGTTTGTATTATTTCTGGAAACAGCTTAGTACACTATCGCTTATTATGTAGTTGATTGTCTCATCTTTTCTTTTAGTTTACATATTATTAATAGTAGTTTTATCGTGTCGCCAAAAATGACGGCATATTTTAAGATCTTCTTATTATTAGAAACTTTTCCCATGGGAATTGTTAAAATATAAATTGCTGGAGTAAGGGCGATAAATCTAAATAAAAGTACAGGCCTGACAGATCCACAACCACTTCTTTGATGGGTCATGTCTCTACAGAACATTGACTATTCTCCACAACTTCCTATTCTTCATAATTCTTTGGAATGTCATTTTTACTACTTGTAGCAGGAAAAAAACAAACTTTAAACTTATTGTAGTAATTAATGCCTGCAATCGGTTTATTCTGCTTCTCTCGTCCGTGACACTTGTAGCCAAATCAAAGTTCAATAGAAAATCTGTTGTGATAATCCAACGGCCAACAGAATAATGACAAAACGGGGTCAGTAATCCCATCTTCACTTTGCAACGGCCTTTATTCACCAAACGATTTTTCTGATTGGCCATGCCAGTCAGGGAGGAAAGAACATTAGCATAGTTTCTCTGATATGTAAAGTAGCAGATTTTTGCTAAATATTTTCTTTAATTTTCCTTCAGCAGATCATACACAAAACACAAACTCTTTTTCGAGGTAGATTTTCTCTTTAGTTACAATTACCGAACATTAAGTAAATTAAATAACATAATCTACTAAATTCTTGGCTTTCTATTTTGTAATTTTTGTTGTTGCAGTTGGTTCTTGAGTTCTGTTCTGGTTATCTACAGAATCTATTAGATCGAAATCTCATCCTTTCATGATTGAATATTTTTTCTTTCTGTTTTCATGTTGTTTGACTAATTGTATCATCCAGTTCTTTGTTGTTTCCATGTATGTTTATAATCCAATAGTTGTAGCAGAATAAGATTTCTTCCACCTTGTTTACGGGGTTATGTATAAACGGTCTACATCAGCATTTGAATGCTGCATGTTATGCTTAGAAAAGAAGCTTTCATGTCTTAGAATCCTGACATCATTTAGAGTTCAGTTCAAGATGTTGAAACTTATAATTCACTTCCAAGTTGTTCAATTTCTTTCTCTATTTTTCTTTTCTAAGGTAAATCTTTATGTCTGTGAGACTACTTTTTTTTTTTTTTACTTTGATCTTTAATTTTTTAGTTGCTGCTATTGCGGAGGCATATGTTACTTCGTTGAGATTTATATGTGGGTTTACTTCATCCAGAATTAATTTGAGTGTTGCATTGTAGAATTTAATAGTTTTGAGATTCTGCTTTGTTGGTTTTAATTTAGGGAGTTGTTCTTCTTCCCTCATTACAATATTTTGTGTCTGACTTACATGCCTCATGCTATCTTCCTTGGTTTCTTGTATTATTATTATTATTATTATTATTATTATTATTATTATTATTATTACTACTACTACTACTACTACTACAATGTGTGAGGGTAGAAGAAACTTTTTATATATGCTAACATTCACAAGTAACATTTTTTGTCATGTAATCTAAGAGTTTATTTATTCATAGGGTTAATACCTGTGTGTGTTTTCTTTTTCATAAAAATTTTAACTACGGCGGTCTTATTATTATTTCTAAACGAAAGACAAAATACAAAAGGATAGAATCCAGACGCTAAATTATTGATTTTTGAACGTGATAAATTGTTGCCTATAACATTCGTTTATAAACAGATGAACAATTTTGTTCATCAACCGTTATTAACATCGAATCAGACAACGTAACAGTGAAGGACGAAAGAGTTATTCTCCCTTGACCCGATCATTTTGTTGTCCGGTTCACTTTGACAGCAATCCGAGAATTTCATGCGTCCGCAATCCTTCTACAGAGAGAGACATCAAGAAGGCTTTCCTGTCTGCATTGGTCTTATCGATTTAGATTCTGATTAAAACTCGCAAGGGACTCTGACCATCTGTCAAAAGTAACTCGCTTTAAAGACGATTATAATGGCAAAGATTGCATGTTTGTATTTGTAATGTTTGTTGTGGTAGTGTTTGCGTGCTTATGAACTGGGAACAGGGTATGAACCGGGAACAGGGTAGGATTAACTATTAACAAAAATAGACAGGTACTTAGGGAACCAAAAGAGGAATTGCTTTTTTTTTTCTTTCTTTTCCTGAGGATATTATATTCTGTAGTGAGACGATCATATTTGCTATAAAATATAAACGGCTAGCGTAAAACTGCTGTCAAAATAGTTAATATATTTATCGGCTTTTGTTATTTTCGTGGTGTTGGTAAGCAAAGAAAAAATGTCTTTTTAAAAACACCATTGTTGAGCTGTGCTAACATCAGTTGGACTTAATCCGTTCTTGAGTGGGGAAAGATAATATATTTAACTATAAATGCGTTTTTATTCTTTCTTAGGAAAATATATTCAAGAAGAATTGGCGTAAGCAATTAATTTTTGTGTGTATGCGCAACTGTCTGTAAAAGGTTTGCGTAGATTTGATCTTTCGGAGTGAACACACACCAATTTGTATGTACCATAACACCTTCCAAGATTTACTATGGAAGCAACATATTTTTGCTGCTACTGTCTAGTTGGGTTTAGTAGATATAAATACGAGCTTTACGCAGGTATTTTCGCGCTCACATTTCTACTCTTGTGCCATGTCTGTGATATGATATCTGGAAAAGGGAAAATAGATAGCCTTTTCTAAAAGTATTAATGTGAAATGAATATAAGCATATTAGAATACTAAATATAATGTTTTGAGAGAATAACTTCATACAATGGTTTCAGATTGAGGTAGCACTTAGAAAAGGTTGCATATTATCCTAAAATGATTCAGTATATTCCTAGAATTTATCTACAATCAAGCCTACATTAAATAAGCTATTGATACGAGACTGATTTTACAAATATTTGCCAAGCTGTCTACAAAAGAAATTCAAAATGCTAGTAAGAAATGGATGTTCAAATTAATGTTCAAATAGATTAACACAAAGTTCAAAATGCCTGAGAGAAATGGGAGACTGAAAGTAAAATCAGTCAAACAAAAATGATAACTTCATGGACGTCAGTGAAATCTTCATTTTACATCAGATGCACCTGACTTTAAAAAATAGAATAGTACTTGCCTCGATTTGAAATACTGAAGGAATATCTGGGAAAGAAAAGATATTCTATAATAAAGACCGGGCTCTATTGTGCTCTGATCATCCTCAAAAGCCATTTATCGGTGAAACTCGGAAACTGAGAGAAAAAGATATATAAAAGTTATGTCTTCGAAAACAAACTGCGTCGGAGAAGGAAACATCTTGATATAAAAACTGACATAATTAGTCTGATTAGAAGAAAGAGGTTCAACTTGTTTTTGGCTATGTAATCAAAAGATGAGAAAGGCGCTATATGTACAGATCAAAAGTAACTTCCCTGGCAAAAAGACCACATAGCAGACTATACATAAGATATGAAGGCCAAATTGAAGAGGACACCGGAAGTGCCACTTCTGATACTTGCATGAAATGCCTTGAACAGGAAGTAGTGATAAGTTTTTATGGACCTGACTATTTTATCCAGAACTGGTCGTGAGGAGAAAGGATGATTTCTTTGCTATCCTTCGTCCTTCCCACTTTGCCATCTTTTCAACCAAAAGTATTAAGTCGGTTACTCGTTATTTCCTTTTATCACTCTTTCTTTTCATGTGAGTGTCAAACTTTCCAAGCTCTCTTTCCTCATAATATGTCGCAGTAATTTCAACTCTCTTTCTTCCTTGTTATTCATATGTTTATCCCATCGTATTCTCAGCATCCGTTTACAGAACCAAAATCTCTTTCGCTTCATATCTCTTCTCTGTTATGAAATTCTCCAGCATTCAATGCCTTAGAGCAAAATTGCTCTACATAGCAGCTCAGCGCTCTTTTGTCTGATTCAAATGAAAGATTTTCCGTTTCTATAATACTTTGTTTAGTTTCTGGAAGGCATCTTTCTCTATTTTGATGCACCTTCGGATTTCTGTGTCACATTATCCATTGTCTTTTATTACACAACGCCACCGTCCAGTTGATGTACCTGCATGGTTGCTACATCTCCAGCTCGGAGTTGACACCTTTGGCTATCTCACTTGGTCACAATCACACTTTGTGTTGTCTTATAATTAATATGATAAGTCCTTTCTTCTTGCTTTCCTTATTAATGGAATGACGAAATCAGAAAGGTCACCGAAATTACACTTTTGACACTTAAAAGGATTGCCTTGGACCAGGCAATGTTGTGGTGAAGTCTAGGCGTAGCTTAGATATGGCACATGGCTGAAAGTATGGGAATCTAGTGAGGATTGAACTCACTACTAAGTCGTAATTGATCTAACGAGACAAGTTTGCTAACCATTACACCACGCCGAGGTGCCCGAAGTAGCAAAGTTGTGTGGACAGAAAGCGGTGCACAAGGATCTCTTTGGGATTATGCGTAATTTGGTTTCTTTTGGTTTGTTTTACGGCTTATCAACCTCAATGGTTTATTTAATGCCGAAAAGTTTTATTGCTGGTAATATTTTTCCTTCAAAAATGTATAGCTGGTAATATCTTTTCTTTTTTTTTTCAAAAATGTATTGCTGGTAATATTTTTTTTTACAAAGTATATCTGGTATTAAGACATATTTTTACACATAGTTTTTTGACTCCAGTTTGGGGGTTAACTATTTGCCCATAGCTGGGAACTTAAAAGGTGCTACCACCCAAGTTAGGGTGGACCTGGAAACACCAGCAATTAAGAGGTGGTCCCAAGATCCTCAAAACCTCTTGATCAGAGGTTTTGTTGTTGGACGTAGTTTATCGTCTTACTCAGGACGCGGATTGATACTTACCTGGCACAGGGATCCGTCCCTGTGATGGTGGTATCATGGCTGCGACTAGCTTGGACCGGCTCTGACCAGCTTGGGCAAGCTATGACAAGCCAAGATCAGCTTCGACTAGCTTAGACCAGCTCTGGCCAGCTTGGACAAGCTATGACCAGTTAAGACCAGCTTGGACCAGCGGCCTGAGTGAAAACACTCGGGTCCCCACGTTAAAAACTGACCTTGTGTCACATCCTGACTCAGTGTGTGTGTGTGGGGGGGGGCAAATAAATATCTACCCAGGACTCGGATGTAGTTTATCGTCATACCCAGGACGGATTATGCGTAGTAGTATTAATAGTAGTAGTAGTAGTAATAGTAGTAGTAGTAGCAGTAGTAGTAAGGAGGATACGGGCAGCTTCAAGTAAAAATTTGAATTCGGATTCTTGATACTGTTGTGCAAGGCGGTAGCCGTTACGTCACCCTGCCATTTCAGATATCTACCGCCATGCATACGATCGATAATCTCATCAGTTCTTAATCTGCTGGGGTCTATTTTAATGTCTTCGAATCTGTTTAGCTTCCTAGATTAGTCGTTATTATCAGTTAATCACTCTACCTATAAAGGCAAGTATCTGGAAATCGGTGTCCAGATAGAAGCATGTATGTTGATTTTTAAGGCCGTTGCATTCGCTTTCACATAAATAGCCTTCTGAATCTATTCATTCACACTATCTATCTATCTATCTATCTATCTATCTAGTTCTATCTATCTATCTATCTATCTATCTATCTATCTATCTATGTCTTGGCATATAACTATCCATCATTGTCCTTTCCTTATATTTCAGTCTATACAACATAGTACTAGATGTATGACAGAGAAATATTGATATATTCTTTAGTCTCTTTAGATTTATATGGCAAATGTATATTTTGACATCAAATTTTCTTTCAATAGATTTCATCAAATATAGCACATGTCGATTCTCTTCTTATTCTTATAGAAAACATCCAAAGAAGACAAACAAAACAAACATTCTAAAGATGGAACACGTTTTCAGAAATTTGAACGTCTACAGAACGATTGGAATGGTTCGAATTTATTTAAAATAGTTTATTTATTTCACACACTGACCTTTATTCTCAAGAATAATATTGGCCATCAAAAAAAAAAAAAAATTAATGGTGACGATACACCAGACATCTTTTTTAGCTAATTTGCGGGTGCTGAATCTGAAGTTGACCGTAATTTTTTATTTTTGATTTATTTATTTATTTATTTATTTTGGTTAGCTACCTTTTTTTTCTGTAGAGAAATGCCTCATTTTTGGAAAAAAATATTTTTTCATTTGTTTTCTGTATATATGATATTGACTGATGGCAATATGTCTCAAAATAAAATCGAAGAAACCTCTCAATTCGTATTCAAACCAACAAATATTGGTCTGTTTATTGAGAAATATTATTTTTGCAATAACAATCAGATCCTAACTCTTTATAAATAACACGATAGCAAGACCAACAAGTATTTTCATCAAATTATGTAAAAAATATAACAACAGAAATAAAACCTTCATGAACATAAGAACAATGGTAAACATTTTCTCTTTCTTGAATGTCTGTCATGTTCAATGTTATTTAAATCCCTTTTGATACTCCAGCAGTATCATGTACAATGGAATAGGTGCATTCAATTGGGATGTCTTTAGTTGGAGTTTCTTTCCAACTGTGAAAACAAAATGCTCTCAATATGCTTGGTTTCCTTCCGTAGTGAAGTGATAAAAGTGATGTCATAAATTTATGAATATCAAACAGAAAATTTTAGGGCTTCATTTTTTTGATGTCACCTTAATTATCAGGTTTACTAAATTTACTGATAAAGTTTATCAGTTAATTTGAACTTTGGCGATAAATTGGAAAACTTCGGTACATCTATTTAAAACTTTTTGACTCAAAAACACTTTTTCTTATAAGAAAATAGTTTCTTTCAAGCGGCTGACATAAATTGCTCGGCCTAGCTGAAAATCATGGGTTTCTACGACATTTATTAACTAAATTTTGCGATCAGCCAAGATCGTAAATTGATCTTTTTAGTACAGCAAAAACGGCAGTTTTCGGAATCAGCTAAAAAAATTGTGTTTTGTTTCTTGGCTGATCCATGTAATCAAGAATGTCGTTTAGTATCTGTCTATATTTCTGAGATGAGGTATTATGTACACTATTTGTCGCCTTATTTATTACAACGTTTCGGCCGTTGTGTGCTCCGGCCTTCTTCAGGTGGTAGGAATGTCGAACTGAATCCTTTATTTCGCTCCCTTGTGTAAACTTTTCTAGTTCCACGTGACTTGTTTAGTGGATGTCAGTTATCAGTTATCTCCTGTTAATTTCTCTCTGGAAGTTCTCCACTGCCTTAACCGGGTATTGAACTCACACGCTTTGGGTCCTGTCACTGGATCTAACCAACGCCTTTATCCACTGTGCCATGTGTCCTTGAGTTTACGCCAGTTAGCGAAATAAAGGGTTTCAGTTCGACATTCCAACCACTTGAAGAAGGCCGGTGCGTACAACGGCCGAAACGTTGTAATAAATATGGCGACAAAGATGAGGACAATAGTCCGAAAAATGTAAATAATGAATAATGTCGTTGTGCTAACAGATCTTATGAATAATATCCGAATTGATTGGGAAAAAAATGGCAGTTTTCTTTTTCCTCGGGAGAAAAGAATCTTTATGTTTGAAAAGAAGCAAACAAAGACAGACTGACAATTTCAATCAAAATCTTCGGGGGGGGGGGCAACGTGACTTTTATTATACAACGATAATTTCTGTCGTTTAGATCGGTGACAGCGGTCCGAGGAAATGTTTAAATCTAATTCGGTCGGATAAAGACATATCGATTTACTCACTTTCCAGCCCTGACCTCATGGGGTGATTAGACCTTCGCAACTAGGACCCACCAGTCTGCGCACATTAAATCTACTCATCCTCATTCCCATCGTATTCCACTGGTAAAGAGGAAGTCCCACTCTGACAAATTCTTCCCAAGAACTGATGCATTGGGTATGTTTCACCGATCACTACAATTTTAACCTCTTCAAGTCAAACATTATCTATCGTACGTAACCTCATATTATGCACCTCTTTCTCCCTCTCTGTACATCCTAACAACAATCTACAATAAACTACATCCGCGTCCTGGGTAAGACAATAAACTACATCCGCGTCCTGGGTAAGATGATTAAATACGTCGGACAGCAAGGCCCCTGGTGAGGTTTTGAGAAGCATGGAACCACATCTTAATTGCTGGTGTTTCCAAGTTCACTCTGAGCCCGGGTTGTAGCATCTGTTAGGGTTCCAACTATGGACAAATAGTTAACCCCCAAACTGAAGTTAAAGCCATATGAAATTGTAAATATAGGTTTTAATACCAGCAATACATTTTTGAAGAAAAAATATTACAAGCAATACATTTTTGAGGAACAAAATATTACCAGCAATAGATATTTGACCAACAATATATTTTTGAGGAAAAGGGTATTACCAGCAATAAAAATTTTGTCGGCATTAAATAACCTATTGAGGTTGATATGCCGTAAACGAAACGAAACGAAACCAATCACATTTATTAGCCATCTACATTGAGTGGTTTTGGGGCCTTTTATTGAATATAATGTTATAGAATAGTAAGAAACAAAATAAAAAACTAACATTCAGTTTTTAGACCAAAACAGTAATATTTTAATATAAACTGTTAAGCTTCGTTTTGATGGAGCATATGATTCTGTTACGAATAGTTCTCCTGCCACACCAATTTAACAACGCAAATTTGGTCTCCCCGTGCTAAGCATTTCTGACAAGAATTTATTGATTCCTTTGCATTCCACTGCAACACCCTAAGAACAAATATCTACACCTCCTCACCAATGATTTTGGCAGTTATAACAGGCAACGTGTTTGTATACGACGTGATGGATTTTATATATGATTTTTTTTCTTGTTTTCCATTCTCTTCTCAGACAATATTGTTCAAATTACGCTTCACTGAGTCTCATTCTTGTGGCAACTGTTGACTCAGTATGTCTTGTGTTTTTACGAAAAAACACTTTGATGACAAGAAACAGCTGCAAAGACTTTTGAAGAATTAAATGTCAATCCCACGAAATCAGAAAATCTATCTTTCGAAAAGCATTAAAGTAAATTTCTGAAAAAGTAATTTCGAAAAAAGAAATCAGTTTTTTGATAATTAAAGATTTTAATTTTCTTTCTTAAAACACACTGAGCCATTTCTTGTAGCGGCGAGAAAGGTTCGTCTCGCTGAACATTATAACAGCAATGGTTTCAATTCTGACGCTATGATCGTCTGGCTTTTTTTTATCTATATCATTAAATAAGGCCTCAACTCTACATTATAGTAATTTGTATTTACTCAACCCCACCACGAGGTCAAGTTGTGACACAAGGTCGGTTTAATGTGGGGAGCTCGAACTAGGAACAAAAATTGCCCGAGCCCCCGTAATCCTCGGTTGCGCTGGCCTCGGTGCGAGCACCGATCCCTGTCTCTAGTGCTATGAGAGGGTGCGGCCTCAGGTACCTGTTCCTCAGTGGTCTTCACTTCTCAGTATAATTTTCCTCAGTTGCGATTCTGTCCAAAGATTGATTTGCTCCTGAGACAGAGACGCAACTGAGAGATGATTCATAAACCTGTTACAAACTACTTTAGAGTGATTTACACACTAAAAGCTCAATATCTGTATTACATATTATCTACTTCTAGGCAATATCACTATTCAGGTTTAACCAATTTCAACAAGTTGGCATCTATTTGTAAAATTTGCTTAACTATAACAAGCCAATTATAAATGAAAGGTTCATTTTAAAAGTTTGTTTCAAAGATATTAAGTGGTGATATATCTTACTTTGCGAAACCTGCTAGTTTAAATTAAATTGCAATCCATTTGTCTATCTTATTTTCTTGGTAGTTCAGATTCCTCGTTTTTAGGGTTTGTTTCCTCCTTTTTTGTTTACTGACGTTAATCCATTATCAGCCTCGAGAGCCACTTAAGGTAGAGATTTACGGAATGAGGTATATCATATGAATATGAGAGTAGATAGTAGGAAATAGTAGATTATGAGGATACGGGGGATAGATAATTATTGACCCTTGACCCGAAGACGTTAAAAGGTTCAAGGATGAATCCACTCGGGAGTTTGTTCCATAAAGTGGCACCTCTTTGGGAAACGCTATCTGAGTGGGACTTCCTCCTTACAAATGGGATATGGAAGTTGACTCAATACCGTTGACGTCGAATCGATTGTCCTAGCTGGAAATATCTGAAATGGTGGAACTAAAGAATGGAGCTCATTTGAACATTTTCAATAAATATTGCGGTAGGCTTGCGACGTTACCTCTGTGGGAAATTTGGTTCACATGCTCTGGATTGAGAGGCGTCTGATGGAACTAAACTGCGAAATTGCTGCTGTCTTGCAATCTGCTTTTCTCTGGTGTATCGAGTTCGATTCACACTGAGTACTTACTAACGTGACTTTCTGTCCTGCTATGTTTAGTAAATAAGGTTTTTTTTTCGGTTGTTGGCCGAATACCATGCAGCAACAGTTAACAACCTAGTTTCATAGATCATTTTTAATACACAGAGTTTGAGATCCTCACTGAACATATGCAAAGGTGAAGCAGTAAGGAAAGTATTTGATAAAGTACATGAAGAACTTCTTGAATTGTTAATGAAAGCTTGATCTATATGGAAAGGACATACGAATAATCCACAATTGATACTGAAAACAAAT